GGTCTCCAAACTTGGCAACTTTAGGACTTGTGGACTTCAACTTCCAGAATTCCTCAGCCAGCCATGCTGTCTGGGGAATTCTGGGAGCTGAAGTCCACAAGTCTTAAATTTGCCAAGTTTGGAAACCCCCCTGATCTACAGAGTCAAACTGGGAGAAGACGTCAGTGTCCTTGTCCACAGCTGGTGTCAGGAGACACACTGTCCCAATCTTCAAAGATAGAGCTGCCTTCCTTTAATTTGTCCAACTGCCTTTGATGACCAGATGGTGGCTAATTAGAAGATGGTAGGGTGCCTACAAGATTGATTGATTTGTGGGCCTTCAAGCCAGACTTGACTTCTGACCAGTCCCTGCTGGATGCAACAGAGCTCTTCTCGAGTTATTTTTTATATTTATAGTTTATTTATACATGTTTCAATTAACAGTGTAAACTTTGAGTCAACTGCTTACATAGTCAGGTTTTTCCTGCCCCCTAATCTCCGCTTCTATTATCCAACTGTTAATAAAACAAATCCCATGTTTGAAAATATTCTGAATCTTCCTTCTCTTTTATCTTTAATGTCAGTCTATCCATTTCTGCGCAATCTATTTTTTTTTTATTACATCTTCTTCTCTCGGTGTTACTTCATTTTTCTAAAATTGTGCAAATTCAATTCTTGCAGCCGTCAAAACATGCAATATTAAATACGAATTCCCCTTATTATATTTTTCTGGTAGTATTCCTCACAAAAATATTTCTGGCTTATGCACTATGTGCAATTTTAACTTTTTTTTTTCTAACTCTGTATGTATTTTTATCCAATAGTTCTTTACTTTCGCACATGTCCACCACATATGACAGTATGTGCCTAGTGTTTGATTACATTCCCAGCATTTGACGGGATTGTTTTTAAATATCTCTTCTCAAGTTCTTATTGGGCACCTGGAAACTTGGTGTCAACTCGTAAAATATTTCTATGGTCTTTTTAGAGTTGCCAACAGAAAGGGAGGAGGGAGCAGTGAGGCAGCTTGGAAACTGAAAGTGCATTCCATAAATGTTTTCAAAGATAGTAACTAGATGACCGAAGTTTCTGCCGTGCAAAATTCTAACTGGAGAGCATGATTGATGACTCTTGGCTATGGAGGTGTCCCATTGGAGAATAGGAATTACGATACACCCATGGGGTGGGGGGAAAACCAGGGTCAAGGGTGACAATGAATGATGTGTCTCAGAGTCGGCTACCCCCAGGCAGTGCTGGCATGTTAACTCCCAATAAATCCTTTTGAAGTTTTGGAAGTTTGGCTTGAGACTCATGATTTAAATGGGGTGATTGTTGGAATCCTGACACTTGGGGGGTTGCGCAGATAACTGAAGCTAAATAAAGACAAGACGATTTGCAGAGATTCCTGGTGTGTCCATCTTTCTCTGTCATTGTGCCTAAGCAGATTGACAGGCCTAAGAAAGTTCCAGAAGGTATTCCTCTTGGATTTAGCCAGGAAACTTAAACTTTTGACTCAGGCATTGATTCGATGCCAACATTGCCACCGGATTAACTCAGTAGGTCACAATTAAATAATCCCCTACTCTTCAAACGCCTCTCAAAGGGATGAAGCATTTTATTGCTGGGTTTAGCCAGCTCTCAAAGGAGATTAAACCAATTTGGAGCACATTAAACCAGCTAACTCTTAGCTGTCCTATTATTTCAATCCTCCATCCCGATCCACCTATGAAGACCAGATGGGAAAATGGTGGTGGTCCCAGGGTGGTCCAGAAATTGTAAATTTCCCCAGGTCTTGGGTTGCTTAGGAGCCCCTTTCCAAAACTGACCTTATCTTTTTTAAAAATATATTGTTTTATTGGTACTTTTTAAAAATATACATAAAAAGTCAGTGTCAGCTGGGTGCAGCCAACTCTAAGACACACCATTCATTTCCCCCTTGACCCTGGTCTTCCCCCCACCCCCTGGATGTATATTCTCCAATGGGACACATCCATAGCCAAGAGTCATCAATCATGCTCTCCAGTAATAATCTTGCGGGCCAACAGTTTCGGCTGCCTAGCAAATTATCTGAAGCATTTAAGGAATACACGACTTCCCCCACTCCCTTTCTGCTGGCAACTAAAAAGACCAAAGAAGTATTTTTTAGTTGACATGTATGTTAGTCCAATATTTTTTTTGCCTTTGGGCAGGTCCACCACATATGATAATATGAACCTGGTATCTGATTACACTTCCAACATTTAGCTGATATATTTTCAAACATCTTTGCTAGTCTCGCTGGTGGTAAAAATGGCATCTATAAAACATTTGGTATAGATTTTTCTTAAATGCTGTTGACATTGTTAGTTTACAGTTTCTATCCCGCAGTTTCTGCCATTCATCTAGTTCTGTTGAACAACCGGAACTGACCTTATCAATGGTCCTCAGCTTCAGTCCGGTTTTCCCACGTTCGTCCTTGCACAGGTGGATCTCGCGCAAACCCGGTTTGATCTCTGCTCGACGCAGCCCCGCGTCATTTCCGGTCACAGGGGCCACCAACAGACCTGGGGCTGAGGAAGGTGGACCCGCGGCCTGCCAAGGAAGCCAAGTTGAAGAAGCCATGTGGAAAGAGAGAAATTATTCTCCTCAGATCAAGAAGATTTGCGAAGGTCCAAGTTCCACTTCAACTTTTAGGGTTGACTCCATCAACCCTGAGGAGATTGGAGGCTAAAACGTACGAAGAAGGGTTTTGCAGGAATTGGGTATGTCTCGTTTCATTAAAAGAAGAAATCTTCAGAAATTGTGGTCACTCCATCCCTGGAGGTTTTTAAGAAGAAACTGGACAGTCACTTGTCTGGAATGGTATAGGGTCTGAGCGCTGGGTGGGACTAGAATGGGGGTCGCCAACCTTTTGGACCTCAGGACCACCAAACTCATAATTTCAAATCCCGCAGACCACTAATATGAATTTTGACTGACGGCCACTTGCTGACGTTGGTGGGAAAGTTGGTTCCATATTCCAGAGATGCCATAGTCACAGGACCTCCATCCGGGTGCACCGGCCGACCATGGACTGGAGGACGCTGCTCCGGGATGACCAAAGGGCCAGTCCAGTGACTCCTGCAACTCTGGAATATGGGACCAACTTTCCCACCAACGTCAGCAAGCCACCCCGGAGTGGATTTCCCTCCCCCGCCATTGGTCTTGCCTTCCAGTTCCAGATGATGTAGCTCTACTCCGGGTAAGGTTTGCGCTCGGCCAAAGGGTGAGGGGCCAACGGGTGGGCAGGCTGTGTGGGCGGCACAGCCTTATGTTCCTGCACAGCCTGGATTAATTGCTTTGGGGGGGGGACATTTCTCTATGGACCACCAAAATTTTCTTGCGGACCACCAGTAGTCCCCAGCCCACTGGTTGGCCACCACTGGACTAGATGACCTCCAAGGTCCCTTTCAACTCTGTTATTCTATTCTAAGATCCCTCTCATAGGTTAGTGGCAAACTATCATCTCCTGCGTGAACATGAATCTACGAGGAAAAAAAGGCACAAGGAATCTCTTCCATGACTGCGTTCAAAAATGCTTACAGAATCGCCTGTCGGGACGAGACCTAAATTCCTCTGGATCTCGTCGCTGGAAAGAGAGAGGCCCATGTAATCATTGAGATCGGCGAGATTTGGGTACAAAACTGGCGGTGCTGGAAAAAAAAGAAAGAAAAGGAAGAAATAACACTTCATTCAAAGGATTGGCTGGCTGGCGTATTTTGGTCTTGGCTCAGGCGAAGCTTGCTAGATCCCACCAGCTCAGCCCGCCTCGAGATGGTGTCCACGAATGAAGGAGACATCTCGAATTATTTTTAAGGGCCAAATGTCCATATCAGCTCAGCAGGGTTGAACATAAGATAAGATAAGATAAATTTATTGTCATTGTACTCAGAACCTGAGAACAACGAAATAAGGTGCTCTTTCACAACATACAACTGAACAACACCAAAAAAACATATACAAATAACAATGTAAAACAAATAAAACAAATAACAGTTAAAAAACTATATAACCGGGATATATATATGTTGACCACCAGATTCATAACTCTGCATTTAACCTGATCTTGGGTAAAAGCTATGTTTAAATCTACTTGTCCTGACTTTCAGCACTCTGTATCGTCTTCCTGATGGTAGGATCTCGAACAGCGAGTGGCCTGGATGTGAAGGGTCTCTCAAGATCTTTTGTATCTTCCTTCTACATCCCAAATCCTACAAATCCTCTAATGAGGGAAGAGAACATCCGCTGATCTTTTGTGCCCTTTTTATCACTCTTTGGAGTGCCCTTTTCTCCGCCTCTGTACAACTCCTAAACCACACACAGAGGCAATAAAATGCTCTCTATAGAGCTTCGATAAAAGGCAACCAACAGACTCTCTGGCAGTTGTTGTGATCTTAAAAGTCTTTAAAAATACAGTCGTTGATGAGCCTTTTTTTCAGGGTGATACCTAGAAACTTACATTCTGCCACCTGTTCTACCAAAACACCATCGATGTACAACGGCTGGATATCCGAACTGCTCTTCCTGTAATCCACTATGAATTCCTTCGTCTTATTTATGTTAAAAATAAGACTGTTTACTTTGCACCAGAGGGACAACTGATGAACTTCATCCCTGTACGCAGACTCATCATTATCAGAAATGAGCCCCACCAACGTTGTATCATCTGCAAACTTAATGATCTTATTACTCAGATGAATGGAGGTGCAATCAGACGTATAAATAGTGAATAAAAGTGGACTCAATACACAGCCCTGAGGAGTGCCAGTATTGAGGATCTTCACAGAAGAGAACATGGTCCATCTCAGGGGTGGGATGCAAATATTTTTTTACTACCGGTTCTCTGGGAGTGGCTAGGTGGACGTAGCCACGTGACTGGGTGGGTGTAGCTTCTTTCTTGCTTTTGTTTTTTGCATCGCCCCCCACCCTGCGCTTCATTTTTTGACCTCCTGGGCCTCAGGGAAGCTTCCTGGGCAAAGCAGTAAGACAGAGAGGGGGATCCCAGAACAGCTGATCATCAGGAGGAAAAAAAAGAAAAGAAATACCTCAATCGGTGACTGGGTGGGGGAAAACGCAGTCAGCGATGTTGGGCCTGCGCGATAAGGACTGACTGGGTGGGGAGGGGAAGGGAAGGGAGGGCCGAGAGGGGAGGGACCAGCCAGGGACACAATTTGCCAGCTCTCCGAACTGCGCAGAATCGTAACAACCGGTTCTATAGAACCGGTGCGAACCGGTAGAATCCCACCCCTGCTCCATTTCCATGTTTTGTCTGAATTGAGCAACCTCCTCGCTGTCGGAGTCTTCCGCCAGATCTCAAGAGAAGAGCTTGTTTGGATGATGACCCGAAAGATGGGATGATGTCTGAAAGACCTTACCATCCGCTTTGGGAGGTTCCGGCATCTCTCTTGCAGTAGGGGCTGGAGCTGGGGCCCTGGGCTGGGGACCGACGGTATTGTTGTCCTGGGCCTATAATGACAAAAACGAGAAGGCATGAGGGACTCCTTAACTTGAAAGAGAAGGCAACGCCGATCTCTTAGTTTCGTCTCTAAAGGACATTCCTTGTTGGTCATCCCCATGAAGGACCTTCTGGGAGTTGAGGTCCACCCCTCTTAAAAACTGCCAAGTTTTGAGAAATACTACTCTACAAAGAGATCATTGCACCGTGGACAGATCTTATAGGCCAGAAGTTGTTGTTGTTTTTTTACCCCTAATATTAAAATGAAATTTGAAAAGGTACAACTTCCGCCCGTGAATTCTGTTTACTTCTGCAGCAGAAAGAGAAGAGAAAATAGGAATCAGCCACAAAGGCCCCATGTTATTTTAGAAGAGAGCATCTAAATCATGACATAACACTCCAGACAGACCAGAGTTGGGGTTTGATGCTCAAATTTAGACACCTTTGAACCAGGAAGAGAGGAAACCAAGGGGATCCGGGATCTGAAGATGAAATTTTCTGAAGGCCATAGGAAAACCAGGTTGAGTCGTAAGAAAACTGATGGAGCTCCTGGAAGCACCTTACAAAGCAGAAGACGCATTAACTGAGTATTGGTTTCCCAGTTGGCTTCAATAAATATTCCTTGAAGTTCTTCATCTTGCACCCAAGGTTAGAGTGTGTGGGGTATAACAGAAAAACAGAAGGGACCTTGGAGGGCTTCTAGTCCAACCCCTGTTCAAGCAGGAGATCCTATTCCATGTCAGACAAATGGTTGTCCAATCTCTCTTTAAAAACCTCCAGTGATGGACCACCACAACTTCTGGTAGCAACCAGTTCCACTGACTATTCTCACTGTCAGGAAATTTCTCCTTATTGCTAGGTTGCTTCTCGATTCGTTTCCATCCGTTGCTTCTTATCTTGCCTTCAGGTTTGGAGAATAGGTTGACCCCCTTCTTCTTTGGGGCAGCCCCTCAAATATTGGAAGACTGCTATCATGTCACCCCTTCTTTTCGTTAAACTAGACATGCCCAATTCCTGCAACAATTCTTCGTGTGTTTTAGCCTTCAGTCTCCTAATCGTCTTTGTTGCTCTTCTCTGCACTCATGAACCAATACAGAATAACAAGAGTTGGAAGGGACCTTGGAGGTCTTCTAGTCTAACCCACTGCTCCGGCAGGAGATTCTGTACCATGTCAGCCAAATGCCTGTCCAATCTCTTCTTGAAAACCTCCAGTGATGGAGCGCCCAGCAATTGCTGAAGGCAAACTGAAATGGTATAGGGCAGAGGTCTCCAAACTTGGCAACTTTCAGATTTGTGAACTTCAACTCCCAGAATTCTCCAGCTGGCTGAGGAATTCTGGGAGTTGAAGTCCACAAGTCTTTTTTTTTTTTTTTGAAAACAATTTTATTGATTTTCTACAAACAAACAAGACAAACAAAACATTAAAACATCAACTCTCTTATGTACGTACAGTGTGTCGGTTGGTTCATCGGTTTTGTGCATTCATTTCGTAGTCTCAATTGCAGTTATAATACATAACAACTCATATTGTCAATCCAAACTTATATATCCTAATATCGCTATTAATAAATCATTTGACTATACTTTTAATCATTCATGCTTTATGAGAGAACAATACTTTAAACAGTTTATTCTATAACAAATCATATAATCATACCAAATCTATCCTAAAAACACTTTATAGATATAATGTCAAATAACATAGGCAAAAGAAAAAATAAAAGTATTCCTTGCTATCTAACTTTCTAAATATTCTATTATCGAGAAGTCCACAAGTCTTAAAGTTGCCAAGCTTGGGGACCCCTGGTATAGGATTTCCTGCCTAAGCAGGGGGGTTGGACTAGAGGACCTCCGAGCTCCCTTCCAACTCTGTTATTCTATTCTAATTGTTCTCACTGTTATGAAGTCTCTCCATAATCCCAGGTTGGATCTCCCTCTGGCTTCACCTCCCAGAATTTCCCCAGCCAGCATGCCTTAAGATGGGTAGAATCGTAGGACTGGAAGGCACCTCAAAGGTCTTCTAGTCCAACCCACTGCTCAACCCACATTCCGGACAACTGGTTATCTTCTTGAAAATCTCCCTTGATGGAGCACCCACAACTTGTGGAGGGAAGCTGTTCCTTTGATTAAATGTTAGGAAAGACTGTCCAACTTGATAGCAAGATCTCAACCATCCGGTTCCCGGTGTTGAAATCTAGCCCGTCGAGAGCACATCGGACGATGGAAGTTGGAGAACAAGAAAGGTAACTAGAATTATTTCATTGCATTCTTCTTGGCCAAGGTGGGAAGACTTCCCACTCCCAGTGGATTGGTAGGATAAGGCCCTCTTTCACCTGGGTTTTCCACCTAGGAAACCTACAGGAGCCTCTACAAATACTTTGGACCAGGGGTGGGATTCAAAAGTCTCAGCAACCAGTTCGCCGCCTGGTTGCTTGGTGGGCGTGGCCTACCAGGAGGGCCATTCTTCACCTTCCCCAGAGTCTGGAGGCTTCCCTCAGGCCTCTGGGAAAGCAAAAACGGCCTTCCCGGGCTCCGGAGGCTCTCCGGAAGTTAGAAACAGGCCCATTTCTGGACTTCCAGAACTTCTGGATCGGCCTGTTTTTCCCCACCCAGAGCCTCCGTGCGCGCCCTGCCCTTACCTGCATCCAAAACAGGCCGCGTGGAGACTCCCGGAAGGGGAGGGGAGGGGTGAGAGGTGCTAGTTAGTCGGTTCAACTCCCGGTTCGTTGAACCAGATGTAAATTTAACAACCGGATTGCTCAAACCGGTCTGAACCGGCTGAATCCCATCCCTGCTTTTGGATTGAAACTCCCATCGTCCTCAGCCCCAGGAGTTCCTTAGAGCTTGGGAATTATGGAAACAAAGTCCCTGATTTGGAGTCCTAAGGTGGAGGAAGGATTGATGGATCAGGTGGAGAAAGATATTCAAAGGGAAGGGGCTGGCCTTTCAACCTCTTTTTTGAAACTCCGATTTTTCAGCTCTTTTTGCTGAACGTGGAAGCACCATTCGTTCTTTTTTGCTAGAGGTATTCCTCCACTTACGACCGCAATTTAAGCCACCAATTTTTGTGGCTAAGTGAGTTCCAACCCCCAACCCCCGTTTTACGACCTTGCCACAGTCGTTAAGGGAATCGCTGCAATTGTTGAGTTAATCACGCAGCCGTTCTGTGAAATCTGGCTTCCCCCGTTGACTTTGCTCATTTGAACGTTGCAAAAAAAAGGATCACACGAAACCGGGATATTGTGACCATCGTAAGTATGAGTCGGTTGCCAAAGGTCTGAATTTGTTTTTATCACGTGACCCTGAGGATGCTGCAATGTTCGTAAGTGTGAAAAACGGTCCTAAGTCACTTTTTTCCAGCATCGTAATTTTGAACAGTCACTAAATGAACTGTTGTAAGTCCAGAACTACTTCCGTCTGTTGAAAGCGGTTAGAACATTAATTATAATTTAATTAAATATTTTTGCTCTAGTTGAGTAATACAAGTAATCCTTGATGAACAAGCATTTCCTTTAGTCACCATTCCAAGTTGCAACGGCACTGGAAAAAGTGACTTATGACCGATCCTCACACTTATGACCATTGCTGCATTCCCACGGTCACGTGATCAAAATTCGAGGGCTTAGAAACCGCCGTACACTCACAGCAGTTGCAGTGACCTCCAATCATGCGATCCCCACTTGTGACCGTCCCAGCCGACTTCCGACAAGCCAAATCACTGCAAAAAGCCAGATTTCCACTTAATGACCACCTGGTTCATTTAATGGCAGGGATTCGCTCAATAACTGTGGCAAAAGAAAAAAATTGGGTGTGACTGACTTAACAACCACCTTGCTTCGAAACAGAAATTCTGATTCCAATTGTGGTCATAAGTCAAGGACTACCTGTGGTTGGCACCTCTTAAGACCCAAAATGGAATCCGTCTATCATTTTGTCCCTTCCATTGCCCTACTCCAAGCGGTGGCTTCCGCAGAGATGAGAAGAAAGCAGTTCGCACCGTCAACATGTGATAAACCTCCATATCTTCCAGCGATGGGTACAAGGTTGACATAGTGGAGTCTCTAAAGAGAGCCAACTGGAAAGGCGCAGGGGACACAGTCAAGCTGAATGGTCCTAAATCATCCAGCTTCTTTCCAGAGAAGATGTCCTTGGTGTTCAGCTACAACTGTTGGCTTGTAGGACAACCCTTTAATTAAAAACGACCAAATTAACGAGGTTTGATTAAATCCGATTGGCAATAAACAAGTTAAACATTCCCCAGCCAACATTTTTAAATGCCGCCCGTTATTTTTTTTTTTTTTATCTACAAATTCTAATTTTGCTCTTTTTAAAATAACAATCCTTTCTGGCTAAGATTTCTGCCTCTTGCAAATTACAGGCAACGCTCGACTTACGACCGTTAGTTCAGGGAACCGATCCAAGTTACAACGGGGCTGAAAAAAGGGGGCTTGGGAATCACTGTTCACACTTACGACCGTTGCAACATCTCCAAGGTCACGTGAAAATTCAGATGCTCAGCCAACCGGTTCATATTCATAACGGTTGCAGTGTCCTGGGGTTGCAAAGTCCCCTTTACAGGGGTGGGAATCTACCGGTTCGGACTGGTTCTATAGAACCGGTTGTTATGATTCTGCACAGTTTGGAGAACCGGCAAATCATGCCCCGGGCTGGCCACGCCCCTCCCCGCCCAGTCAGTCCTTATCGTGCATGAGTGACATCGCTGACTGCATATTCTCCCCTGTCCAGTCACTCCTTTTTTTCCCTTCCCGATGATCAGCTGTTCCAATGATCAGCTGTTCCAATGATCAGCTGTTCCAATGATCAGCTGTTCCAATGATCAGCTGTTCCAATGATCAGCTGTGCCGAATCCCCCTTGCTGTCTTACTGCTTCAACAAGAGGCTTCCTTGCGTGCCACTCCCGGCTCCGTTTTTCGCCGTCGTGGACACCAGGGAATCACTGTTCACACTTACGACCGTTGCAACATCTCCATCTTCTCCCTTCTGGGAGCAAAAACGCACCCCCAGGAGGCTTCCCTGAGGCCCAGGAAGCAAAAAACATGGCGGGGGCCTGCAAAAAAGCTATGTCCACCCAGTCACATGGCCATGCCCACCTAGCCATGCCCACAGAACCGGTTGTTAAAAAGTTTAAATCCCACCCCCGCCCCTTTTAGCGACCTTCTGACAAACAAAGCGAATGGGGAAAACCAGATTTATTTAACAACTGCGGCAAGAAACGCCATGAAAATGGGACCAAACACCCCTTCACTGTTTTGCTTTGCAACGGAAATTTGGGGCTCAGTTGTGGTGATGACCCCAGAGTATCTCAGAAATATAACAAAAATCAAAATGTAACTAAAAGTCCTTTAGTGCCTTCGACTTGGCTTTACTGTTTCATTGTTCGCAGTGGAGGAGTAAACTATTTTCAAAATAACATTTCCAAGGAAAGAAACACAGTTCAAATTCAAAGAGCCGATAACGAAGCAAAAACCAAAAACAAACCGCATTGAATAAAGTTCCATGACAGTCCAGGACAGATAATTGCCAACTTCACGAAGATAACCAGGGACAGCAGGCTGGAAGAATGCCAACCAAGATAAACCTTCTTTAGGAATAAAACCCTAATTTGTCTCCGGCGTCTGTTGGCACGCAGGTCCAACCTTTTATGCAGATCTCCCACTTGCAAGCCACGAGGAGGATCATGGCCGCTTCCTCTCTCGTAAGCCAAGTTGTTTCCTTCTCAGTTCCTCCCTGCGTGTCCTTAGGATGGAGAGGGGATGGGCCTGGGTTCTCCTCTGACTTCCCAGCCGGCCTCTGCCCTTCCCCAGCCTCCTCCACCACCTCTGGAGCCACACTCCCACTCCCTGTCGGCTGTTCCTCCTCTCCCTCGGAGTCAGTCTCCACCAGGGGCATGACAGTTGTGGTCGCAAGTCAAGGACCGCTGCACTCGCTTTCATTTAATCTCACTGAAGATTTAACAGATAATCGGAGTCGGAAGGGACCTTCTAGGTCCTCTAGTCCAACCCTCCGCCCAAGCGGGAGACCCTACACCATTTCTGACAAATGGCAATCCAATCTCTTCTTGAAAGTCTCAAGTGACTTGGTGATTCTAACTAAATGCGCTTGATTAATCCGATCGTAGGTCTCAAGAGACGGAGATATGAATCTGGTCACTTGGTTGCCTGAACACAGAATAACAGAGTTGGAAGGGATCCTGGAGGTCTTCTAGCCCAACCCCCCTGCCCACGTGGGAGACCATGTGCCATTTCAAATGGGCTCCCAACCTCTCCTTGAAAGCCTCTAGTGATGAAGCAGCCGCAACCTCTGGAGGCAAGTTGTTCCACTGGTTAATCTGTTCTAATTGCCAGGAGATTGTCTATCTCCTTAATTCTAGGTTGGATCTCTCTTGGGTAACTTTCCATCATCATCCGTTGCTTCTTGTCCTACCTTCAGGTGCTTTGGAGAAAGAATTCTTGTTGGGTTTTGAGTGTTGAAATTCCCCAGGGAATCCCAATTCCCAGGTTTACAAAACCAGAAGGAAGAATCAGAATCAGAAAAGAGCTGGAAGGGACCTTGGAGGTCTTCTAGTTATTTTATTTATTTGATTTGATTTGTCAATCACTTTACAAGATAATAGGTGTAAGAATAAACATAGTTATGAATACATGAAATGGATACATCTAAGAAAAATAAAAAGAAGCAATAGGACAGGGACGGTAGGCACGTTGGTGCACTTACGCACACCCCCTACAGACCTCTTAGGAAAGGGGTGAGGTCAACAGTAGACAGTCTAAGGTTAAAGTTTTGGGGGTTTGGGGAAGAAACCACAGAGTCAGGTAGAGTATTCCAGACATTGACCCCTCTGTTGCTGAAGTCGTATTTCCTGCAATCAAGTTTGGTGCGGTTTACTTTGAGTTTGTATCTATTGTGTGCTCTTGTGTTGTTATGGTTGAAGCTGAAGTATTCATTGACAGGTAGGACATTGCAATGTATGATTTTATATACTACACTTAGATCGGACCGGAGGCGGCCTAGTTCTAGCTTTTCTAGGTCTAGAATTTCGAGTCTGGTGGCATCAGGTATTCTGCAACGAGTAGAGGAGTGGAGAACTATTCTTGCAAAATATTTCTGGACTTTCTAGTCTAATCCTGTTCAAGCAGGAGACCCTATACCATTCCTGTGATGTCCCAAAGGGATGTGACACAAAAGCAACAAAGTCACAAAAGCAGGTAAAGTCCCTTTAATTCCTCCAGCCTGGCCTCCAATGTCCAGTTATCATCGGCTGGAGAAAAAACTCTCCCAAGAACAGTTTTTAAAGGGAAGAAATTCAGTCTGAACCCAAAGTACATATAAATTATAAGTAAAAACCAACACAAACCACAAAGCTGCAGCAATTAATGAGAGGGGGCAGGATGAGGAATTGCAGACTCCAAAACACACACAGTTGGGAGGATGCCAGAACCCAGATAAGACGTGACAAACAAAAATAATGCACACTTTGCTTCCAGCAACCTTGCTGTGTGCAAACGCCCTTTTAAAATCTTGTTTTCCCAGCTGCAACTAATGAAGGGAATCAGGGCCTTTTCTTCCCCCATAAGCCACATTGCTCCCTTCTCCGTTCCTCCCTGCATGCCCTAGGATGCAGAGGGGGGTGGCCCTGGTTCTTCCTCTGAATGCCCAGCCAGCCTGTGCCCTTCCCCAGTTTCCTCCACAGCCACCAGAGCCACACTCCCACTCCCTGTCAGGTGCTCGACCTCCCCCTCGGAATCAGATTCCAACAGGGGCATGACAATTCCAGACAAATGTTTGTCTAATTTTTTCTTAAAAGCCTCCAGGGATGGAGCACCCATAACTTCTGGTGGCAAGCAGTTCCACATGTAAATTGTCCTCACTGTTAAGAAGTTTCTCCTCAATTCCAGGTTGCTTCTCTCCTTGACGAGTTTCCACCCATTATTTCTTGCTCAAAGGAAAATATTAGTCACTTAAAGAGGCTGGAAAATAAAACTGAATCTCTCTCTCTAGTTTCCATATTGCATGACTGGGAAAAAATAAGCTGGAATTTTTAAACGAAACTGCAAAAACTATGGATTTTAGATCAACGAGCCAGCTCTGGTGGCCAAGAGGTGGAGCACTTGCGTCACCAAACTCGATTGCAAGAAATACGACTTCAGCAACCGAGGGGTCAATGTCTGGAATACTCTACCTGACTCTGTGGTTTTTTCCCCAAACCCCAAAAACTTTAACCTTAGACGGACTACTATTGACCTCACCCCTTTCCTAAGAGGTCTGTAGGGGGTGTGCATAAGCGCACCAGTTGTGCCTGCCGTCCCTGTCCTATTGTTTCTTTTATTTTTTTCTTATATGTACCCATTTCATGTATTCATAACTATGTATATACTTATACCTATTATCTTGTAAGCGATTGACCAATCAGATAAATAAATAAATAAAATAAACATATCTATATATAAAAACATCCATCCGTCTATCTATCAGTATCTATCTATTTATTTATCCATCTGTCTATCCATCCATCCATTCGTCTATCCAACTGTCTATCCATTGGTATCTATCTATCCATCTGTGTATCCATCCATCTATCTGTGTATCCATCTGTGTATCCATCCATCTGTCTATCCATCTGTCTGTCTATCCATCCATCTACCTATCCATCCGTCTATCTATCAGTGTCTATCTATCCATCCATCTCTCTATCCATCGATCTATCTACCCATCTATCCACTATTGGTCACCATCTTACCCAGTTTACAACATTAAAAAGACAAAAGCTATACTGATAACATAGCACCAAAATACAATACTTAATATTCATTTGGTTCCTCCAACATTAAATACCTTCCACTTTCCATACCATTTACCTGCACAGGTACATTGCACTTACAAATCCCGTTGGAGGAAGCAGTTTGAAGGAGCAGACAGAAGGGAAAAACCTCCCCAAAGAGCTGGATCCCACTGATGTTAAGCAGGTTCCTTACCTGTCAGACTCCTCAGGTGAGAATGCGGTTCCTGGCTACTGTAGTCCTCCCAGCCTTC